AAAAAGAAAGGACAGCATTTACAGTATTATTCGTTTTTCAGTGATATCAAAGCTCAGGAAAAGTAGTACGTTGTAATGAGAAAGTCGCAGATCTACCAGAAGAGGTAGCAGGAAACACAGTGCTAACTCGGCTCCTACTCTGTAATTTGTACCATGAAAACAAGTGTAAGAGCAAGCTCTGCATCACCAGGCTCAGCCACAATTGGCAGCGTGCAGAGATTAATAGGAGCTGGCTTCCTCCATGTCAATGCACACAACCAGACACAAACATCGGGAATATCGAAGGGCTAGAGAGCCATCCTCTTTTAACATCAGGAGATAGCCTTCTCACTTTTGACACTCGCAGTTAAGCCTTATCCCCAGTAATTCTTGTTACATTTACAGAGGAATCTTTAAGGTGTAGTCACCCTAGAGCCCATACTCCATCTGGAGAGACCAGCTAGCAGTGACTAAGAGCTCTTCCTCCCTGCTGGATATTTGAAGAGTGAGTGCCATGAAAGTATTTATACTGATGTATAAATTTTATTTATACTGATGTATAAATACAAACTAAGCATTGTAATGTGTCTCCACACAGCTGATGGCTTCCAGTGCCATTGCTCTGCTCTGTTTTCTGCAGTAGACTTTGAGATGCTAAGCACACCCGCTCTGGTAGGAACTTGGGAATGCACCAGACAGTTAATGGGAATCGAGAAGTCTGATTGATGCAGAGTAGTCATCATTCTAGCAGTTGAAAAATATTTAAATTTCTATCTAGCCTTCTCTTCCTCAAGGCAAGTTGAGTGACTTGTACAAAATGCGTCATGGTGCACAAGTTAAAAGCTTTTGTGAGCTGGCAGACGAGAATGCTTAAGTTATGACTGGGTTGAATTCTGATGTGAAGACATTCCCTGATACTGATCAAAATACTGGGTATTCCTTACTTCTGTACTGTTTGTTTTTTTCCATTTTCCTTCCCAGCTTTCCCTCTTCTCTCCCTACAACTCTGCTATTTCAATCACTCAGCTTTTCATTATTCATTAGCCTTCCATTATCCGTCTGTTGCCAACCACACTGTCAAGTCAGTTAGACACAAAACCAGACAGCTTTCCAGTATGCTATGAAATGCTTTTCACATGATCAGAAGTCAAATCATCCTTTTGAACTCAAACAAATTAAGCGGAAGAAAAATCACAGCTCCTTTGTCCAGCTAAGCAACTATTTAACACGAGCTTTATTAAGGTTAGGGTGGCACAGAAGAAGAGTAAGCCCTGAAAAAAAAATAAAATATTTAGTTTATTAATACCACTGCAGGGGGAATAATTAAGAGACCTATTACTGTGTCTTAAGATTCTGTTGCCCAAAAACTGCACAGAGAACAAAAAATTCAGCTGGCATGTCTGCACCCCTAGAATATGCTGTCACTTGGCAAACGCTGCCCAACAATGCTGACAATCCGCTGACCCAAATCCTCACTTACTGCATTAAACAGGGTTTATCAGCAAAAATAGCTGCAGTGGGAATGCCACACCTTGTAGTAAGTGCCACAGGACTGAAGCTAATAATGCAAAAGGCTACACCAGAGGGAGAGGAAGAGTATGTGGAGTTGCCTTTGCTGTGCATC